TTGATTTACGGTTTTTACACGTTCCGGGACACTTGACTATTTGCAAATATCATTATATGACACTTCAAAATCCCATACATTTTATCATAGCGTCTACAGCTGTACTACCATATTACATATATTTTACATTATTTAATACGACAAATACGGCCACTGACGTTGACGCCTATGGGTGTAACGTCATACCATTACTAACAATGAGCAATGTAATGAGACAGTGCGGCTACAGACGGTACCGGCTATGGGGCGAATTTGTCCGGAAAGCAGAGAAATACCAAGAAATTTATAAATCTCCTCTACATTTATCTTAAGAAAAACTCTGTGTCTTGAGTGTCTAGTGTGCGGCTGGTTTTGGTTTACTAATGACTTGCCGTATGTATTTGTGCAGTTCTCTAAATACTCGGAAATCGAAAACATCTTTTTCAATTGCGGCTTGCACGGGTGGGCCGGGTAATGTTTGATCGAAGCTAAAATCAGGAATGTCATCAAAAATATCTACCCGTTCTGCGTCATCCTGGGGTAGGGTAGTTGGCAAAGGCTCATGACAGTCTCTAGTGTTTGATTTGATAATATGTCGGTTGGATTTTGATCTATTTTTTCAGTTCGATGGTAGGGACATGATGAATGAGGTTCCTGAGAGCCCATTACTCCATCTTCTACGCTGTTTTCTGTGACCGGTAGGTCATTGCAAGACCTCTCATCTACTTCCTGGTGCGATATCGAATCGCCCTCTCTTGAACCCGGATCCCTGTATCAAAGTGGGATTTCACTGATCTTAGTGGAATGCAAAAACCTAACGTTTCTCGAACTGAAAATCTTATAATTTGATTTACTAGATTCGCCTTCTTGAGCACCATCTGGGTCATAATTTGTATTAGAGCCGAAATCACAATCTACGTCTGTGTATGGGCCGTGGTGGCTTTCATCCGCATCGTCTTCAGCAGTAAACAGACTCGGACAGTTACTTGATGCCAGTTTCTTCCGTTTAGAAGCCGTCTGCGAAGCAATATGGCTAAGTCGCAATAAAAACAGTTTGAAAGAAGCTAAAGTAGTGGGTAAATAGCATTTGAACAATACGTTTCTGTTTAGTAACTTGTTGCTTTTACATCGTGGTTTTATCCCTACAAGTAAAAAAACAGCATAACTGTATAACACCCATACACTCGCCATAGTAGATACGATAGAAAACGCAAAGCGATGCAACATCCCTACGCAGCGCCAATGAATCGAGCCGATCAGAAAGCACTCGGTCGTTAAGGATTCAAATTGCTGTGCGCTAGATGCGGTCAAGTGGAAGGAGCTGACACTGGGGTGCCCCGGCGCAGTGATGAGAACAATATTCTATTTGAGGCCGAACTTGCGCTTTGTAAAGTTGCAAGCGATGTGCCATCTTGAAATACTGTCTCGCTCTGCTGAGCTGCCAATTTGGCCTTCCCATCCGAGTGAACACAAAACTGTACACTATTCGATATGTCGACGCCGAGGATTCTGACGCTAGCTGAGGCAGCAAGGGGAGTGCCTTTGCAACTGAGGAGACACGACAAAGGGTTCTTTTTAGCGGTTAACGCGCAATTTTGTGTCTTCTGGGGATTGAATTTGACTAGCTTTAATCGCCCCCAATCCGAGACTCTGTTCAGCAAAGACTCGACTTCAGACCCAAGTTTGTCCCGGTACTCGGCGATGATTTCTCGAGAAATATTGTGTATAAGGCGTCACCAGTGCTGTCGACTACATAGCAATGAATGTTATCAGTTTGCAACATATCCTTGATATGCAGAAGTAACAGCATTGGTGATAGCACGCAGCCTTGTGGAACACCAGAGTTAATAGGCTTGTAATCAGAGCGTGCACAGCCTACTACGACCTTGATGCTCCGATTAGCAAGAAAGCTAGTGATCCCATCGCACGATTTTTCGGTAAGCCCATAGGAGGGGAGCTTCGAAAGAAGCGCTTTGTGCCAGATCCGATCGAAGGCCTTCGCCTTGTTCAAACTAACGGCCAATTCCTCCCCCATTGGATTCTACTGCCTCCGCCTATCTATGAGTAAGGTAGACCAGAAGATCACTAACTGATCGACCACGACGTAAACCGTATTGGCGGTCACTGATCAGCTGATGATCCTCAAGGTACCTCACGAGCTGGCAGTTTACAATAGACTCCAATATTTTAGAGAAAAATGTGGTGATGGCGATAGGCCTGTAGTTGGATGGGTCTGAACGGTCACCTATTTTAGGGATCGAGTGAAAAGAGAGAGCCTAAAAGATTGATTTCCTCCTTTGCGGCATGGGCAAGTAAGCCGTCCTCTCTGTACAGAGATGGTAGAGATGACTGACAGAAGTTCCCTTGGCAGCCTTGGTGAGAGACCAGAATGCACGGGTTCCCGAAGGAAGGCGAGCTAGCTTCTCGCCAATTCTGCCGATGTGCTTGGACCTTGCCTTGACAATGACTCGTTTTAAGGACGTGGAGGCGGATACATACTTCTTTTTAAGAGCGCTGTTGTTAACATCTTGAGTCGTTGATGCATCTCTCCTGCTAATAGCATGGTGCTATTGTACAGGAGCGACCAAACCATGGCTGGGATCTGCCTCCGATGGGCACCACAGAGGACGGAATAAAAATTACCATACCCTGAAGTACCACATCAGCGACAGAATCAGCAACAACGCTAGGATAGTCCGGCGAGAAGCAAACCCGCCCCCAAGGGTAGGATGCAATAAAAGACCGCAACCCATCCCAATCGGCCGATCTATAGTGCCAAACACGGCGGCAACCTGCAGAATGCAATCGCGACGTTAACCTGAATGGCAACACACTCCGGACAAGACAGTGGTCCGTCTAGCCTAAAGGGGCGTCGACGGAAACCTGATATCCGTCCGGATGAGAGGTCCAACGGGGAAGGTGTATGATCCTCCATATCTGGAATCCGCGTTGGCGCAATAACCTGTTTGGTCAGACCATATGCCAAAGCATAAGTATAATAGTCATTAAAAGATCTCCCCGCATGATCGGTTAAACATGAACCGAGCCATTCGGCGTGGTGGGCGTTAAAATCGCCAAGAATCACGATCTCTGCGCATGGGATCTGCTGTAGCACGGAATCAGTAGCCATTTGGACGTGGTCAAGGAGTCAGTCTGTTTCGGTATTACCGCTATGGGACCTATAGATGCACCCGTAGACGCGGGGATGGTCGTCGCCGTCTACGCGCAACCATAGGATGGACAGGTCCATATCTTCAAGACTGCCGAGGCGTCGAAAACAGACATCCTCTCTGACGTATACGCAAACTCCAGCCCGTGGTACAAAGGAATGTTCTAATTTGTACCCTGCGTAGAAGAGATATGAAGGTATCAGCCGGAGAGGACACATGAGTCTCTGTTAAAAAGAGCAAGGCCGGCCTCGCCGTCTCCAGATAGTAGTGGACAGCGTTAAGGTTGGAATAAATTCCCCTGATGTTGCAAAAATTCACGGATAGCGTGGCAGGGGTTGCCTTAGTGTTGTTGTTCCACTTGCCCCGATCAGTTTTAGTCACGAGCGGAATTGCGTTCCCCTCCTCCATAATACGCGGGGCAGTCTGAGCACCCACGCTCGGGAAGAGTAGGATAACTTGGTCGTGGTTAAAGGAAGGGGGGGGGGTGAATCGGGCCGGACCACATACACTCACTAAGCAGAGGCAACTCTCTGCTTTACGCTGGTATTCTGTGAGGTTGTGTTATCACCCCGGTTTGAGCCTGCCAATTCGTGCGACAGCAAAAGCTGCCGCGTGGCTCTACTACTGTAAATTTTTTTATTTAAGGTTAGGTTTTTTTTATTTATTAAAACAGGTTGCAACCGTACCATTTATTTATTTATACCACTATCCTACCGTTAATAGATATAATCGATTATTAACCAATGTCGGTTAAAATCGATTACTGTGAAACAATTAAAATATTTAGGTGTACTTGTTTCATTATTATACTACATAAATAATGAAAACATATCAAATAGATTGTAATAAATAAATTAGATAACATAAAAATGACACACCAAAAATATTCCATCCACTGAACTCCATCCTAAGAAAACTTGTCTAATGAAAGATCAAGATCTTTCATTAGACAAGTTTTCTTAGGTTTATAGACCGGGAGCTGGTGCCCCCCTCCCGCGCGTCCTCTTCATAAGGAAGAGCGCTTTTCTTTGTATAGCGATTTTTCGTGTTTTTCCGTGATGGTATACTGCATGCCATTGTAATATACGGAAGTTCAAGCAAATTGAAGCTCTAATAATTGATTGTATGCACCCCGCAGCGGCCCAAGATGATTAAAGGGTTCTGAAAACCTGAAAAAAATTAAAGGGCAATTCCGTGTTTTCAAATTGCACGCCGATGTAAAGAATGGAAGTTTTTGTAATAAAAACACTCTGGAAAAATTGGCATGCACCCCTCGTATGACCAACGGTGGAAAATTTCCGGAAAACTCTGTAAAAATTGAACTCCGATTTTCCGTGATTCCAAATTACTCCTAATAAGAATGAATATTAATTTTATAACGAAATAATTATCTAATTCAAATTTATTTGAAAAAATTAATTTGAATAAGCTCATCGAATTATAAATAATAACAAAAGTTGCAAAAAAGATAGTGCAAATTTAGGTGACTTGTTTTTGCATGCCGTTTTGTATTTCATGAATTTACATTATTTCAAGTCATGAACGTAAATGGCATGCACGTAGCTACAGCCAAACATACCATAATTGTGAATAAATTTAATAAACATCAATTTTTCAATTGAAAAAAAATCTGAAAAATGCCGTGACTTCTTATTGTATGCCGCTTTGTAGTTTGTTAGTAGATACTATTTCAAGTTGAAATGCAGAATGGCATGCATGTAGCTTTATGACAATTGATTAAATAAACAAAAAAATGGTCCAATTGTATAATTTTATTTTCTTTTTCTAAATTTTTTATGAAAAATGAAAGTAAAAAATTATTAGCAGCATCATTATTTTAAACGTGAAGTATTATTTATTATCATTATCATCAACCGCTTCATCATCATTATCGACATTATCATTATCATTATCATTATCATCATCATCATTGCGGCTATGTACGGACTCTTCTTCCGTTGTGTAGCCAATATCGGATTGGCAATCGCTGTCATCTTCATTATTCGATTCGTCATCCTCTTCATCATCAAAATTTGAATACATCGATATGACTTCCTCGTCATTAGCGCCGCTTTCTTTTGGGGCTATGAAAATCAAAGAAAAACATGTTTTTAGTTATCATACTGATTGTACGTATTTGTTAAACATAAGTAAAAAACAACTGATCGTACAGTAATGAAATTTCTAGTAGAATAATGACCTCCTATGTGAAAAGATAAAAGCATGAGTAGAAAGAAATAAGTACCTTCAATAATTTCCGGTACATTAGGAGGAATGTCATCACCCTCGAACCACCGGAAGGAATAGCTGTTATTTTCCAGCCGAATTCCTCTACATTCAATGAATCGTTGGGCACTGGAGAAAAAGAATTTTTCCACATATGTCCAATGTACGCTGCTCGAAGTTGTTGTTGGAGTTCACGTTTACAAGCTGGCAATATGCAAGCATCGAAATTCATCAACTTTTGCTTGAACTCGTCTGTGGGCTCTATTTTGTTTGTATATATTTGCGTAAATATTCTCTATCTTTAGGCTTTGCAATGCGATGAAAGCTTCTTGGAAATCTTCATTGACAGAATACAGTTCCCACGGTATCCTTTTTCCCTTGCGGTAAAATGCAGGGTTGAAATTGCACCCGGTTAAGGTATGAAAAGCCGGTAAGCCTGAGCATTTTTTGCTTCCCAGTACGTCATACACTTTGTTCATGTTAATGTAACGACGATTGTTTCTGAAGCCAAATAATGTCCAAACCTTCAGTGACGCTGGTAGGTTTTCCATGTTTGCAAGGACGATGACGAGGATATCCGTGTCAGAGCATTTGATCACTACTTCTTTTTCTTCTTTAAGTTGACACAAGAAAAACGCCATTTTTGTGTCTGCTTTCTCGCGGCCTTCGCATTTTAAATTGGGCATTACCTCGCAAACAAGTGAAGATGAGGTCAACTACTTTGTACCGTAAACATCTCTCGAAAGAAACATATAGTTGCTTATCTCCTATTATATCCGTCACTGATGGTTCTGACGCCCAATAGTCCATGATAAAGGGAATGAAGGATTTCTTGAAATTTATATTTTTTAACTTACCCATTTTAATTCTAACAAATCAATAATATTAAAAAAAATTTAAAAAAATTTACGCACAACTTTTTCCTTTAAAACCCCGAGGTTTCCCACAAAAAAACGAACTTACAGTATCCTGAAGTCTTGCAGTGGTATGCTTGGGTTTGGGTTTAATTTTGTTAATTATAGGATCCCAAGCAGATGGCAGCACCCAACCATCTTCTCTATTGAAATTAGGATGTTTTTTAATTTCAATAGCCTCGCGTATCATCCTTGGTAGGAATCGGTGTTCTTTTGCGAGGATTTGTGGTTTATCAAATCTGATGTAATGGTGGGGACGATCTTGAACATGTTCACTTCCCGGAGCGTCGGTGCTTATAGGTGCGGTCAGCTACATGTTCTTTCACGCGGGTTTTTATGGATCTTTTTGTTTGACCTATGTAAGAGAGACCACATTCACAATCTAACTTGTACACTCCTGCATCTTGTAGAGGGATATTACACTTGACGGGTGGTAAAAATTGACTAAACTTCTTCGGCGGCTAGTAGTATGTTTTAATGGAAGCTCGCCTCAAGATGTAGCCAACCTTGTCTGTGACTCCTACATATGGTAGTACAGCAGGCACACGCTCGACTGTGGCCGGCTTCACTCGGTCACTGTGACGTAGGCGCAGGATCCGAAGCTTGTTGTGTATTTATTTAAGCAATTTACATGAAGCTACATGCATGCCATTTCGCATTTACGCTTATCTACTAACACGATACAAAGCGGCATGCAAGAAGAAGTCACGGCATTTTTCAGTTTTTTGTTTCAATTGAAAAATTAATGTTTATTCAATTTTTTCACAATTTTGGTATGTTGGGCTGTAGCTACATGCATGCCATTTACGTTCATGACTTGAAATAATGTAAATTCATGAAATACAAAACGGCATGCAAAAACAAGTCACCTGAATTTGCAGTGTTTTTTGCAACTTTCGCCATGCATGCCTCTATTTTGCAACATCCTGGTGTGCTTGCCAAATTTCCTACTATTAAATAATGATACAAATTAAGAATACTTTCAATGGCATGCAGTTTGGAATCACGGAAAATCGGAGTTCAATTTTTACAGAGTTTTCCGGAAATTTTCCACCGTTGGTCATACGAATGGGAGCATGCCAATTTTTCCAAAGTGTTTTTATTACAAAAACTTCCATTCTTTAACATCGGCATGCAATTTGAAAACACGGGATTACCCTTTAATTTTTTCCGGTTTTCAGAACCCTTTGATCATCTTGCATGCCATCAATTATTAGAGCTTCAATTTGCTTGAACTTCCGTATATTACAATGGCATACTGTCACGTAAAAACACGAAAATTCGCTACACAAAGAAAGGCGCTTTTCCTTATGAAGAGGACGCGCGGGGGGGCTAAAGCCCCGACAATGTTTGATGTTTCAGGGTTAGTTATCAAGTCTTAAAAAGGCATGCACGACAAAATTGTGGAACGTCACCTGTCACCAGCTCCCGGTCTATTAGTCGCTATACTTACAGTACCATAGTGCGAGCGAGTGAATAGAGAGACGAAACAAAGTATCGCTCGCGTAGGTCATCACATACTCGGAGCGTAAAACAACAAAATTTGCGTTACGCCAAAACGTAAAAGGTCTCTTAATGAAAATGAATAATAATGTAATAAACAGTCATTATTTTCAAAATTTTAATGTAAATACGCAATAGGTGCAACAGTGTCCATTTTTGAGACGTCCGCAGTAGTGAATTCTAGTTCTCTGTTTTGCGGGTGGCGAAAAAATGAACTAAAGTTTGCCATACTACATCAAGTTCAAAATCGGTTGAATGGTTAGAATGGTAAAGAATCTAGCACCTTCGAGCAGAGAAATGGAGCTTGGTGGACTCCACGATTATTCGATGATTTATGAAAAATTGAATGTGGCATTTGGATATGTCATGTATGTTAACACAAGACTTCGGAATTTTTTAAACAATTTATTAAAACAGAAAATTAGAATGTATTTACATAATATGCTTTTTAATATTTTTATTTTAATATTTTTTAATATTTAGTATTTGAAATTTTTATTTTTTTAATTTAATATGAACAGGATGTGGTTTTTAAGGTCACATCATACACATATTTCTTATACTGGTTTTTTTAATGTACATTTTATCTGTATGTACTTTGCAAATCGTGTAACGTTGCGTTATGTTTCAACCTAGAGCAAGATTGCTGCTACCTACAGTACCATTCGTAAATGAATTGTATTGTAGATACAGTAAATCCAACAAGTACCAGAAGCCTTTTAAAGAAATGAGTACCTATGTTATATATTTATTCAATTTTATACTTATGTCCATCCATCCATTTAGTTTTTATTGTTGCCTAGCTATAATTTGTTCAGCTAATTATTTCAGACTATCATCGTCGAAATTGTTAAGTTAGTTAAGTTACACAGCCTATTGACGTCCCCCTGCTGGGCCTTCCCTCACTTCTGAAAGTGTTTTAGAGCAAAGAAGTGTCCGCCGCGCTGCCCATATGCGTGTTGGCGAACTGCACATGCCTTGAAAATATTTTTTACTTATTTCTCAGACAGTCAGACTTCCTCATGATGTTTTTCTTCACCGCCGAGCAAGAGGTAAATCAGCACTTAAAATTGCAATTAGTAATTTCATTGATGCCGGCGGGTTCAAACCCGGTGTGCTAGCCTACTGTGAAATTTAACGCGAGAGCTAACAATTTGAGCTACCAGGGCACTCTCATCGTCGAAATGAATACTTAAGTTAGTTAAGTTACAGCCTTTTTACGCCCCACAGCTGGGCAAAGGCATCCCCTTATTTCTCGGAGGGTTTTAGGGCAAAGAAGTTTCCGTCGCGCTGCCCCAATGCGTGTTGGCGAACTTCACATGTCTTCGAAATATTTTTTTCTTATTTCACAGACGTGCAGGTTTCCTCACAATGTCTTTCTTCACCGCCGAGCACGTGGTAGATCAGCACTTAAAATTGCAATTAACAATTTCATTATTGCTAGCGGGGATCGAACCCGGCTTGCTAGCGTACTGTGAAATTTACAACGAGAGATAACCATCTGAGCTACCACAGCTCTTCTGAGCCACCACGGCTCTCATCGTTGAAATGAATACACCTCTTTATTTTGTATGTTTTTATCTATAGGATAGGGTGACAAACGAGCACGCAGTCCACCTGTGGTGGTTTCTGCGGCCCATAGATGTCTACATCTATCCTCGATTACAAATCAAAATGCAGATGCGTGTCACCCGTGAGGACTAAGATGGAACGCCTCGTTTCCAGTAAAAAGGCTCTCCGATTCTCTACACTCACCATACGAAACACAGAAGCATTAAGTTATTATTTCACGCTGGTATTTGGTGAGAGCGTGGTCCTTCCCCGGTCGAGCCGGCCTATTCGTGCTACAACTATACTACTAATATAACTGCAGCATGGCTCTACCACGTATAAAAAATGTTTTAATGAACTATTACATGATGCACAAAAAAGTGCAGATCGGACTTTAATTGTGGCATATTTTTGCATAATGCATAAGAAGTGAGTTCTTTAAAAATATACATAAATAATATTTTTTTATTTCAGGAAGAGATATATTTATTTTAAATTTTATTATTTCGTAGCTATTATTTGTGTAAAAGGAAATACGGTACCTTTTGGAGCAATAATGTTGTTGGTTATTGGAAATGTAACATAACCGTTGCGCACCTCGCGGTGCCTCTGTCACTCGACACATATTATGGTGCATTGGGTATTGTTTACAAAAAACGTTATTTATAACTACATCAGCGGGAGTGACCCTTGAGTGGTTTTATGTAAAGGAATGAATGAATCTTTATTTCTGTACAAGTGCTGTTAAAGTTTGTTTGCTCAAAAAAAGTAATTAATTTTTCAATAAATATGGCACTTACGACTAAAATTTTGATATCGTCATTAAGAGTACTTATGAAATACTTTATGAGATTTCTAAAACTTAACAAGATCTATTGAAAGATGACTGAATCATGTAAAGAAAAAGATAGGTTCAAGACTGAATCATTATAACTAAATTAAAAAAAACCTATTTTTATTGACTAAATCTTATCTAATTGATATCCGGTGAGGGCCTCCACCGTCATTAGCGCCCCATTGTTTTTATCTATTGTTCATTGAATACCGTCAGTATCTATTTTTCCTCGGCGTGTGCGTCGGCCTATTAGTGCTATTGTATGTATTATACTTCTTTGTTCCTATCTACAAAGTTAATCTGAATCAGCAATAAAACACATTACCTAATTTTGTTAAATTTTTATTTACAAAATACAAAATCTTATTACTTATTATCTATTAAATAGGAGAGAAACATCACATCCACTAAAATATCGTTATACAATGTGTTCCCTGTAAATATACTCGTAAAACTATGCATTGAACATCCCTGAAACTTATATAGCAAATACATTAAGCAATATTTGCCACAAACTGAAGTCCACTCATTCTGAATCCTATCAACATTCCAGTTCCATTTTTTAAAATTCCTTCTTAAAAACTCTAGATGATATAGTACAGGTGCTCGTCCATATGAATCAAAATATTGACCGACCTCATTCGTATCGATATATAAAGCTACCCAATATGACCCTGGTTTATCATCTGTATCCAAATTGCAAATTATATACGTTGGTACATGGGCAGTCTATTAGCAGCATAAACATTATTTTCTAGACTGGGGTGAATCTTTTTCACATGTTGTTGTACATCTAGTGTATCCATGATATTACTGCTATTAGTAGATTATTACAGTACAAATCTACTCAATGACTAACATAGGAATGATCAATTGTATTGAA